GGGCCTGGCACCTAAACACAAACCCCACAAAGATGACATCTACCAAACTAGCAGGATAGTGGAGTAAGGGGGAGTTACGGTCAGACGAACTTGGCACCTAAACACTATTCCGCAAATAAAACTGATACCAAACCCAGAGAGTGGGACAGTGGAGAAAGGGGAGGCCACGATAAGACGGGCCTGGCACCTAAACACTAACCCCAAACGATGACATCTACCAATCCAGAAGCAGACGAGATCATCTACCAAACGATATGTTTTGTATTAAATAAAGGGAAGAACTTCCCACTAAACCAAATCCATGGCCTAAGGCCAAATGGAAAGATTGCAAAATCATATTCTAAAAAACAGGAATCAGCTTCGGCTCTCCTATGTCTTGTCTGCGATATCACTTATGTGGAAGCAGACGTTAAACACCAAGAACGAACGAACGAACGAACGAAAACGAGACTGAATCTTGTCTGCGATATCACCTCGGTGGAAGCGGACGTAAAATACAACTAACTAACAACAACTGAGACTGAATCCACTGTACCTGTGCTTTATCCAATCGCAAACGATGGGAATATTAAGTGATGTGTTTAAATTTAGCTGTTCTCGTAAAACCCATATTTCCATAGGTCGCGATCGTAATAGGTCGGAATTGTGTATGCAAAGACAAGCTTGTTACACAAAGTGTGATGGAATCAGAGCATACCAGAAGATGTTCGACGATCAGCTCCACGTGTTGGAGGCGGACGTGAGTTCCTATTATTAGACATGATGAGTGTTATTTGGTATGTGATTTATCTATTGTTATATAGTGATGGAATTCTGTTTCCTTGGATAGCCCTATTTACGACCCAGGTAAGAAATACATTTATAAAATATAACGGTGACGAAACTTACAGGTTATCATTAATTGCGAGATTTTTTGTTTAAAATTGTGCTTTCAAAAAAAGATTAGAGCATCTGATATCAATAGAGATTAGAATATATCGGATAATCAAATGAAGGTTTAGCGGGATATTGGTAATAACGATATTGCATGCGACTGATTTTAAGACACATGCATTTATACTTCAGTGGTACGCACGATAATATATAAACAAATTAAACCCACAAAAAAGACAAATATACAGTAGAATCTGCATTAAGCAGCCACCCAAGGGAATTTTCACAACTGACCGCTTAACGGGAGTGGCCTCTTAATAAAATCTCGTTGCTTTTTGTGCCGACACTCAAATCTCGGACATAACTTAATGGGAGTGGCCTCTTAATAAAATCTTGTTGCTTTTTGTGCCGACATAAATTAAATATTACGCTGAATCTTGCGCCGAACGAAAATTCTTTACTCAAATCTCGGACATAACTTCTGTAAACTTGTCATTTTGTACCAACCTTCGATACTACTGTCTACCATTGTGATGCATTCGATAATATTTATCCATTTTTGTGAAGAAAATCGATGAATTCATTTTATTTTATCAAAAAAGCACATGAACAAAAAACATCGCTAATTTTATCACCTATTTACAGGGGGTGTAACTCTGTATGTAATGTTATAGGAGGCACTAAGAGAGATACTAGATGATCGTGACAAAACTCGGTACTTTTATTTTATTCAATCAGTATCAAATAATGTGTCGTTACGCGTGAGAACAATGATCAGGTTAGTCGTTTAATAAAACAAAAGATTAATTAACAGATAATCCCGGGTTGATTGTTATTTTTACATTTCTTTTTACCTGATCAGTGGGGGTCCAGTTAATTAACTACTACTCACGGGATTAGCGGGGGTGTTACAAAGAACGACAAGATGGTATCATTCAACAATGGCCGTTGAATGGGCGATGTTTTGTTGAATTTATTAGTAAAATAGTGACCGCTGGCCGCGTTAGAGGAGTGACCATTGAATAAAGAGATGAAACAACAGAATTTCTACGGGGGAAATTTCTCGTGACCGCTTACAAGGAGATGTCGCTGAATAGGAGTGGCTGCTCATACAGATTCTACTGTATAAATAATTGCAGCCCGACTCTCGATCTGTCATCACGTTGATAAATCACATAATAAAAATTGGATCCACTCGACCCGTAGTTTATTAGTACCGGGAGAAAAATAATAAAGCTATTTCATACAATCGTCAACAATAGAAATATTAACAAGTGTTTAAATTTAGCTGTTCTTGTAAAGCCTCTATTTCCATATTAAGTCAATGGACAATATCACCGCCGGCGCATGTCCCTATTTGCATTAGTGTTATTTGATATGTGAATTATCATTTGTTATATATGTGGAAATTAAATTTTTCTTGGATAGTCCTTTTTTTAACCCGGGTAAGAAAAAATACACTTATGCATTAAAACGCCCACGTGTAGTAAATATAGACATGACGAAACCAACAGTTTTTCATCAATTGCTAGATTTTATATTTATAAACTTGCTTTTCGAAACAGATTCGTTAGTCTGATATCAATGGAGGCTGGTCCGGTTATCGGTAAATAACGTTCATTTATACTTCAGTGGTACGCACGATAATATATAAACAAATTAAACCCACAAAAAGACAAATATATAAATAATTGCAGCCCGACTATGGTACGAAGTATAAAACACGTAGTATTCACCAAGAAATGAAATACGTATAAGAACGAACAAATGTAACTACAGGACGTATAAATCCATGTATAAGACCTACACTTAACATAATTAACAAATTATGAATAATTTACTGGAAAATTTGACCAAATCAAATAATTAGGTCGGGAAAATGTGTCATATAATATAATTTTTAGTGTAAATATTGAGGGATGTGAGGGGAATTCCAGGGGGCGTTACATGTCCGTCGCACTAGGTACATGATGGTCATGCACAGGTGTGAAGTCGTCTTTTGATAATAAGTTTACGGTATTAAGGATATTTTGGAATCGGAATTCATCACCTCAACGGCGAGAGAGAGAGAGAGAGAGAGAAATGGGGTTTAATGTCCACTCGACACAAACTAGGTCATTTCGGGACTAACACATGGTCCAATTTTATTTCAATAATTTGCTTGCGCGTAGGGGTCTTTAGCAGTGGGAGGAAACCGGAGGAACCAGAGAAAACCCACAAGGTTGGACAGGCGACCCTACTCCTCGTCACGTACAACCGGGGAATTGAAACCCCCGGCAGTTGACTCAATGACAGACCGTATGATACAGCGCAGCGCGCACGTGCTAACCATTCGGCCATCCACCCCCCACCCCCCTACCCCCTCAACGGCGAAGTATTCATTTAAAATGCAAGTTTGGTATCATGATACTTATATTTGGTGGAATTGTGGATACGGCTTATAGAATTGCACGAATCTTCGTGTCGCTGAGCCAAAGCAGATTCGCGGTCTTGTAAGAATTTTTAGGCCGCCTGATTTTGCGGAAATAAAAGGATTCATACTATCAATCAAAGTTTCCCAGTTTAAAAAATGCTGTAGTGACGAAAGTAAATTAAAAGTTTTGCCTTAGTGTACATAAAAGTTGCCGTAGTGAAGAAGGAATTACTGTGGCATTGTTTGAAAAAAATGCCTTCGTTCCAATTTCACGAATTTTGACCCCTGGACTACCATTCCTGGGTTTGAAGGTCAGGTATGATTCGAAAATGAATACCGGTTAGTAATTTTTTGAACAAGTTCAACAGTGCAACCAAACCGCATTTACATCCTTTGTTACTGCCCTTGCTCTTATTGTGACCAATACCTTAAGCAATATCTTAAGGTTTATTTAAACAAGGTTTATTTATTTGTTCTGGTTATTTGATCCTCTATAATATTAGTGACCAGAACTTGTTTTCTACAGAATGATTGACTTTAATATTATATCATGCAAGCTGTTAAAAAAACATAGTGCTCAAGAAAGATGTATTTATTTGTTTCAATGGCATTTATGCTAGGTTTCCACTATCACGATTCATGCTACGATTGAAATCGCGGTTTTAATCGTGGCGTAATCCTATCAGGTCTTATCATATATTGAGGTCGTAGCATTCATGTTGATCGCATCGAAACGTATCAGCACGTAGCAGATTGTGGGGTCAGGACCATTTCTATCGTAATGCATCGCAAGATTAGTAATTTAACTGGAATACACAGGTCACAATTCTATGAAATGTAATTACTATTTACCGAACGAAGATTTGACAAGGCTTCGATAGTCTTTATCAAGCATCGTCGCTCAGTGTAATTAATAACGCTGTAAAATGATCAAATTATTTAAATTGGAAGCTGTATAATGATAAAGACAGGAAATGTTAATACTAGTGAGTATTCTTAGATAAGAGCAGACGAAATGTGTTCAACAAGTCAAAACAATATGGCGGGTGATATACTTTGTTGTTATATTTAGTCAAACAGTAGTGAGAAGTTTTATTTTAATCAGGGGGTTGGACAGTTGAATGGTTAGCAAGTGCGCACTGTATCATAAGGTCTGCCATAGAGTCAATTGGCGTGGTTTCTGTTACCCGGTTGTACGTGACAAGGAGTAGGGTCGTCTGTCCAACCTCGTGGGTTTCCCCGGGTTCCTCCCACTGCTAAAGACCACTACATGCAAGCAAATTATTGAAATATTATTGAACCATATGTTAGTCTCAAAATGACCTAGTTTGTGTCGGGTGGACCTCTCTCTCTCTCTCTCTTTTATTTTAATCCCTTCAACCTTCTGTTTAGTGAGCCATAGGTTCGACCTTTTAGTAAATAGCTTATAATATAGCACAATCATATGATTCATACTGTATAGGCTCATATTAAAATAACAAGTATACACCTATAAAAAGATCCTTTATTGAATTGGTTGGCTAAGAAAATAAGACAGTTACACAGTATATTAAAAACAGACTGGCAGTTACATACTAGGGACTAGTAAACAGCAAAGTAGCAGTTATTCATTGGTTGACTCCTGTACATGCCCAGACCTCTTATCCAATTACACTAAAGACAGTTGGCAGTAGATCACATGACCATGGTACTATTTGTGTACCAAAGTCATATCCTCAAAATCATACTTATAACATGCTTTTCATGTCTATGCATTCTCCATGAAGGTAAGGCATTTAAATGTATCATTAAATAACCATTGATCCATAACAATAATTGCTTAGATAAGTTAATCAATTTCCATAGCAAATAATGATTCCAATATGATTGCATTTGGTTTTTTTTTTTATGAAATCAAGCATTTCTTTAAATGCACATATCTATATTAAAGAAAGTATTACCGGTAATTGTAGGTCATCAAATTTGATTCTTCTAGATGTTTCTAGACCATGACTTGTGTTTTAGTTTTCTTTAACATCAATCTGACATGTCTTGTAATATTATTTCAAATACAAGTATATATTTTATTTATTTTTTAAATTAAATTTTAGCAAATTGATTCTAGATTATTCGGAATCAGGGGAAAAACCCTTACTATAAATAGAAATAGAATGCACTGACATCTACTGCACCACATTACATCAGCCGCTATTCAAGCTACAAAGAGATATTATCATTAATCTAGAGGTTTACTTCAAATAATTATTTGACTTATAATGTATATATGAGTGTCAATGGGTGGTGAACATTAAATTTGCATATATTTTGCCTCTCCCCAAACCAGGCAAACAATTTTTTTGTCACCATTTTTACTCACCAGCTATTTATTACAACAAATTGGTGTCTTGAAATGTGATCTATTTTCAATCTTACAAAATACAAGGCTTGGGTGAACAGAACTCCAATATTTTGAGTTAACTGCTATCTTTTATATATCATATAAGAAAGTATAATACTCAATGTAATTTCCAGAGTAGCCGAGCAGACTTTAAATATTGTCCATCTATTTATGCTATATTTTCAACTTAAAGTTGTAGCAATTTCCAAGCAGGGCAATTTCGTGTAATGTCCGTTGGTTACAACTTGGAAATCGTATTTTGGTATAGTTTTCCAGTTTGACTAAACATTTCAATTAGGTGTGAGACATACATAATACACATTTTTAGAGGTTTTCATGGAGTTCCACACATGCTTTGCTAAGTAATTATGGTGGGTCTTGGAGTTTAAAGTTCCAACAAAGTTATTTTAAATATGATAGAAATGAAAATTACCTAAATTTCCCCGGTAGATACATTTTCTTGTTCATGTGATAATGTCAAAATTACTAACATAAATCTTCTTGTCAGTGGGATAAAGTGGGCAATTTCTTACATTTTACATAAATTTTCTTGTTAATGTGATAATGTCCAAAATATTCACCTTCCAATGTTTACATTTAAATTGGAACCAATATAAACAAAACTTTACCGAACTAATCAACATTCAATTCAAAGAGAGAGAGAGAGAGAAATGGGGTTTAACGTCCACACAAACTAGGTCATTTCGGGACTAACACATGGTTTAATTATTATTTCAATAATTCGCTTGCGCGTAGGGGTCTTTAGCAGTGGGAGGAAACCGGAGGACCCGCAGAAAACCCATGAGGTTGGAGAGGCGACCCTACTCCTTGCCACGTACAACCGGGGATTCGAAACCACGCCAGTTGACTCAATGACAGACTTTATGGTACAGCACGCATGTGCTAACCATTCAGCCACCCAACCCCCCCATTCAATTCATATAAGATATAAGCAGCAGTTGCCAGGCCCACATTTTGCAAGAAATGGTTAGAGAACAAGCTAAACAAAAACAAGAGCATCACTAACGCTGCAATATACGTCCACATTCCAGCTTTGATTGATATCACACTACATTTCGATCAGTTTTCACTAGTCGATATCAAGCATACAAATTAACACACAATATTATTACATAAAGAATTCACTATTCATTATCAAGCATACAAATTTCGGACAATATCTAATTTTCCACGCTATGTGCTCAAATTGATTCTTTAATCCTTTTAGAGATTCAACTTCTACAATATTGTAGTTTGCAAGAGACCCGACCAATGACAATCTAATTTACATCAGACATGGTCATCTATAGTTTGTAGTAGCTTTCAAAGAGTTTCAGCCGGCTTACTTGTCATTTTCTGTATAATATTATAAGAACCATGCCTCTACAATTGCTCCATGGTAATGCCAATACAATGAATACATTTGACACAATAAAGATACTTTTACAATTGCACAGGGAGCTTAAATTTGTATCGCTCTGGTAGAATTTGATGAGGAAGTAACTGAGCAGATGTGATGTTCAAATGATTGGAGTTTATGAATGCACAGATATTTTTGTCTTTTGTTGGGTTTTATAATTTCATAAGTTTTGTATTTTGTGTAGTTTTGGTTCGATAATCAACAAAGAGCAGCTCAGTTAATAGTATTCAACTAGGTCATTACGACCTCAGACCCTAGATAACTAAATAATGGGGTCCTGGTGACCTATTTAAACAGCAAAATTTAAGGTAAACAATAAGCATCAACGACTAAGTCCTTACAACTTCTTGTAAAAAGAATTAGTTAATCATACCAGAAAATATGTCAGTGAAAAATATCTATGACCATATTTAGACACATATATGATATATTATATCAATCAATAGTATAAAAACACTGTGTTCCCCTCCAAAACCTAGCTAACAACTCTTGCATATAGAATACAGTTTATAGAATAATGATAATCTTATCCAATGCAAAGAAAACAAATGATAAAAATAAAGCTTATGATGTGTATAATTACCGTATATGGTTGCAAGTTTTGATATATAAACATCCATAAAATTTCCCACATTAATAATAAGGTTAACTGTTGCGTAATGTGGGCAACCTAGCCGATTACAGTGTTTTTTATATTCAAGCTATATAGGATAGGACAAGGATCTTAAAGGGACACAATGCTTTTATATGCCCACATTTTCATGTGGACGTATATTGTCGTCGCCCCTGTCCATCCATTTACAATTTGTTTGTGAACTCTCTACAGGTCACAATTTTTATCAAATTTTGACGAAACTTAAAATATAGGTTTATCTCTAAGGCATATTATACCGTAACATCCTGGATTATGGCTCCTGATTGAACGAAAAATCACGTTTTTAGCTTGTGGATTCTTATCCATTTTATCCCATTTTGATGAAACTTGAAATGTATGTTGATAACCCAAAGATCTTGCAAATCAAACCGTAATTTCCTGGATTATTGCCCCTGATTGTATGAAAAATAGCATTTCTAGTTTATGGTCCCTCTAGAGGTCACAATTTCTATCCGATTTCAAAAAACATTTGAATATATCACCATTAAACAATAATGATAATTGAGTTCAAATTTTGTGAAAATCGACCAAAACTGACGGATAAAATGGCCACTCTCTGTATGCATATAGTGTTAATGTATGTAATATTAAGGTTGTGGACCCTCTAGAGGTCACAATTTTTACCTATAACTTTCTTGATCAATAAAACAATACATCAAAAAGGACAACAAAGTTAATTTTGTTGATGGGGATATACAGCGTAAGCCGGTAAAATTAAGAAGCTAATTAGGTTGACGGAGGGCGTAACTAGGACCAAATGTTGCATTCCAGTCAATTATTTGAAGCTGATTGATACTAAGCACTACAGTTACAGCATATCATGTTCGGTACTATAGGGACAATATGAATATGGTACCCCAATAAAGTCCACAAAAAAGTTTGTACATAGTACATACTGATTTGTTTTTACAAATTAGTGCTGGGGTTATCAGACAGGGCCAAAACCAGATTGTTAGAATTGTACTATAGAATGTAATCTGCGCTTAAAAAGGGTGATAAAATACATACATGAAAACCAAAATTTTAACCTTAATTTTAATATGACTAACCCCGCATCTTAAAATTAGCACTTTTTCCCACAGACACACACCTTAAGTCTTCAGAATTGACCTGTTTTATTCACTATTACAGTATAGGATATCCAAGACTACTCCTTTAAATGTATAGTACATTGTATATAATTTAAATGTAAACAGGTCAACAGTGTATAAAAATATGAAACACTATAATCAGTCACTTATTAAACATACTATTATGCAAGTGATAAATCTGACGGATTCATACCACAATTAAAAATCACGTGTCAACAAAATATTCAAAACCTGTACGTAATAAAAATAGGTTTACCTTGATATTTTTGATATTTAATTCCCCTGTCTTCATTAGCCCAGTCGGAGCAGAATAGTAGGACATTAAACCCCATTTCATTCCATTCATTCTATTTAATTCCCATATGGTTTCAAATTTATGTTATTAATATTCATACAAAATTACGTGTTTTCGTAATACATTGATTGAATGAAAGCTCTCCGATCCTGCTTCGGCTTCAAATTTACAACAGTTATATTCCTTCAAAATTACGTGTCTTTGATTATACGACACCAAATGAATGCAGACCTTCCGAAATAAGAATAGTTTGTGATGTGAAAACATCGTTTTCTTCTTTATAAAATGTCAACAAAATATTCAAATCCGAACGTAATAAAAATAGGAACACCACAATATTTTTGTACGCCCACATTCTCGTGTGGACGTATATTGTCGTCGCCCAATGTCCGCCTTTCCGTCAACAATTCGTTTATGGGCATTCTACAGGTCATAATTTTTATCCATTTTCAACAAAACTTGAAATATAGGTTTATGTCCCTAAGATCTCGGTTCCTTTCGATATTGGCATTTACCGGACCGTAACTTCATGGACTATGGCCCCTGAATTTATGAAAAATCATGTTTTTAGCTTGTGGACACTGGAGGTCACAATTTTTATCCGATTTTTATGAAACTTAAAAGGTAGGTTTATAACCCAAAGATCTCGGTTCCTTTCGATATTCCCGCATATCGAATCTTAACTTCATGGATTATGAACCATGATTGTACAAAAAGTCATGTTTTTAGCTTGTAGCCACTCTAGAGGTCACAATTTTTATTCGATTTAAAAAACGTTTTAATATATCACCATTACACACTAATGATGGCGGAGTTCGAATTCCGTGAAAAATATATGTTTAGATCCCAAAGATCTTGGTCCATGTCGATATTCGCACATATCGCACCGTAACTTCGTGGAATATGACCCCCGTTTTCAATATATCACTGTTACGCCCTAATGACAAATATGTTCGAATTTCATGAAAATCGGACCGAAACTGCCAAACAAAATGGCCGCTCCTCATACGCAGATAGTGTAAAAGTATGTAATTCCAAGATTGTGGACACTCTAGAAACACTATTTTTATCCGATTTTGATGAAAGTTAAAATATATGTTTATATCCCAAAGATCTCGGTTCCTATCGATATTCACTCATATCACACCATAGCTTCCTGAATTATGACCCTGAATATACGGAAAATTACGTTTTAATCGAGTAGTCCCTCTTAACGTCACAATTTTAATTCAACTTGATGAAACTTTTATATTATATACTTTTATATCCCAAAGATCTTGGTTCCTTTTGATATTGTCGCATGTCGGACTGTAACATACTGGATGATGGCCCCTGGTTGTACGAAAAATCGCTTTTTATTTATATAGCTTGTTCTTTGTCCATCTCTTGCAAAATGTGGGTGTATCGTGCAGGGCAACCACTTATTCATATATAATTCCCGTATGGTATTCAAATTTATGTCAGTAATATTCCTACAAAATTACGTGTTTTCGTAATAGGATAGAATGAAATTTGCCGATCCGTGCCTGTTTTAATCAAATTCACGCAAGTAATATTCCTCCAAAATTACAAGTCTTCGTTTATACGGCGGCAGCAAATGAAAGAAAGGCATTCGAAAAAAGAATTATTTGTGGTGATGTCAAATCATTTTCGTAAAATGGTATTTTAAAATTACATTGATAGTTAAATCACTTGTAAAAGGCATACATAACTTCAGCGTATGGCGTACGTGACCGTTAACATATAACACATACAGTAGTTTCGTAGTAAGCACTGCCTTACATAGTAAGCGATTTTCGTGCGTTAATCGAGATCGCGGGAAAGTGCCACTGTAAACTGGAATTTATATATGGTGTCTTAAAAGAAGTAGTTTCATTACGGAAAATAAGTTAAAGGTTTAATAGCTAACAATAGACAGAGGTTTTGAAATTTATAACGACCGTCGATTGATTTTGGGTGTTATATACTATAAGGATAATATCAAGGACTAGTTTATACGTGCTGTCAGTTGATATCAATGAGATTCAATTGTCCGGCAATGGAGAAACCACCAAGGTAATCACATAGATAAGGTTGATACTCACTCTTATTGGATTGATAAATAGTCTGACAAAAGAGAAGCAATGACTTCTGTTCAAGATTAGCTTGACGAATTTCTCGACAAAGTAATAAATCAGTCAAGCAAGACAGATTAAGCAGGTAAACAACGTAGGTGTATAGACGGTATAATACCCAGTTACGACCGTGTAAAAGGATCACATGTTCATCTATTTTGCATATTTCCAAGATGGTGGCCATTTTTGGCAGGAAAATGGGACGGTGTTCTGATATTGATTAAGTAGTTGTCTTTGGTGTAAATATATCTGTTTCCAGGTCACAGATACCATTTCTGTCGTTTACAACTGAGTAATATGATAACATGTTCACATATTTAGCATATTTCTAATATGGCTGCCATTGTTTTTGTGAAAATGGAACGATGTGCTGATTTTGATTAAGTAGTAATGTTTTGTGTCAATATGTTTTCTGGACACAGATTTGATTTCTGCCATTAACAGCTGCGTGAAATGATAGTATGTTCACTCATTCCGCATATTTCCAACACGGCTGCCGTTTTTGGCAGGGCGTTTTCTAAACATATTACTGAAACGGTTTCTGAATCCAATTCTGCTATGTATAAGCTTGTAGCATGTTCCTGGAAGACATTGCCATGTTTTACCCATTAGGTATATTATCCAACGATGAAAATTCCTCATCCGATTGACCACTGAGCTAATATCGATATTCCAGGAAAAAAGTGCATTTACTTGGTCGATCAGTCTGATTTTAAGACCTGTGGCGCCATCAAGACTTTCAGTTTATGTTGTCTGTCAGTTATAGACTTACAACTTTTGAAAAGGTAATTAATAAATTAAAGATAGGTTGCTGCCCACAGCAGCTAAATCGTCCGGGCTGTCAACAAGAGTTGTCACATATTTTTACTTTTTTCAGTAATGAAACATTTATAATACACTAAAATATGATTAAGAGTAACAACTCATTAAGTAATTATCAGAAAATCATTAGTATTTGCTTGGATCTTATTCAGTTCTGCCCCTTGCTAACGTTTAGCTTATGAAACATTTAATATCATGGATTTAGCAGATTCATTGAAAATCAATATACTTGTTCATCTCAAGACCTTAAACTGAATCAAACTGAAGTCAATCGGATGATAACATAAGCCTCTAGAGCGTCACAAGATATTTCAAAGTGATCAAGGGCCATAACTCTGGCCATAATTATCGGATATCATTGAAAATCACTAGGCTTCTAAGTCTCATGACCATCACTAATCAGGGGTCATAATCCAGGATGTTATGATACGATAAGTGCCAATGTCAATAAGATCTTTGGGATATAAACTATATATATTTTAAGTTTCAGGCCAATGTTGTTACAATGGGTTCCATGTCGGCCACATAGGCCGGTCAGGATGGAGGGCTTTTGAAAATGACTGAAACTGCACCAAACCCGTAGGTCATTTTGCACACTTGTGCAGCCATATTTACTGTAAAAGCTTTACTTTGATATCTTCACTTGATAACTGGAGCTAATCATGCAAATGATATATATACTCTTCAAAAAAATTAGGGGATATTCAGAAACAATACAAAACTGCGGAAATGCACTGCTGTTTTTATTAAAAGTAACCAGTGTATGTTAATAACATGCCAATTGCCTACACATGAACATAAACAGTTCATATGGGCGGCTTATCTGACGGCCCCATTTCACTCGCAAAGAGATACACCATCAAAAGTGAAAATGGACATTTTTGATTTTTGTCTTAATAATGAGTAATTGCTCCACCAATCCTCAGACATTCAGCAATTCGTCGTGGCA